GGCTTCCAGGCAGTTAGGGTCTTAAACTCCATACCCAGAGTGACCCATCTGCAACCACAAGGCCACATCTACTCCAACAAGGCCACACTTCCTAACAGTGCCACTTCCCTGGCCAAGTATATTCAAACCATCACAAGTACATTATGACCACTTGGGTCATTTTTGTGTTCTATGCTAGAGTTCAGAAACCAATCGTGGGCTGGTCAAGAGCTCTTGAGTCTTATGTGGTTTGATGCCCATTTCCTGCCTCCTTGGCATTTGTTTTATACTGCTATTGGCTCATGTTGGAAATCAACCATACCTTACAGTCCAACTTTTTCATAGCTGGGACAAAACACCTGGCCTAAGGAACTTCAAAGGAGGAAAGATTTGTTTTATTTCACACCTTCAGAAGCTTCAGCCCATGGGTAGCTGGCTCTACTGTTTCTGGGCTGTGAGATGCAGAACCCAAAGCTGCCATTTCACTGTGGCCATGAAGCAGGCCTAGAGAGATAAAGAAGAGATTTTGAAGATATACTTCCTCTGACGAGACCTCACTTCCAGTTCTGTTATGAACATTATCCGGTGATGAGGTTAGTATCCTCATGATCTGATCTTCTTCAATAGCATCACCAGTGGGGGATACATGAGCCTTCAAGGCACACTTCAATCTAATCCATAACATATGAATTTCCCCCAGTTTTCTTTCCCTTACAATAAAGGAAGTACAGATTCCGTTACCTCATGTAACGAAATGTAATGGTAGTATGCCATTTTAATCATAGCAGATTACATTTATTCCATTTAATAAACACCATGGAACAAAAGCCAATACATATAAATAATTCAAAATAAAATGCTTAAACAGAGGTACAATACTGTGGTAGCATTTAAACATGCCCCCACCCCGGTTTGTCATTTCACCAAAAGGTCAGCTTTGTTCTCTGTCCTTGAGTGTAGACACTGTGGCTGCAATAGAGCATAAAGTGATGCTGTCCCAACTTCTGTTCCACATCTTAAGGAATGGGAAGCTTCCTCTTCTTGTCTCCTGAAATGTTCCGACTTATGTCCATTCAGTTTGCTGGGAGAAGCCAAGTACATATGTAGCGTGTTCTGTGCAGTTGGTGTGGCAGACAGGCCCAATGACTCAGCCAACTTCCAGCATCCGCTGCCAGACATGCTCTGAGCAACTTCGTTCAATATTGAAAACAAGCTGTATTGATCCCAGTCACAGTACCAGTCCTGTTGATGCTGTTTGAGGGAGGAGGCAAGCTGTTCATGGTGAGGTCTGACCAAACTTGCGATTCATAAGCAAAATAAATTATTGTTCTTACACATAGAATGTGTTATGTAGTAGTCAATATCTGGAACAAATATCACCTCACCGATACCCCACCAAGTGCTGTGATAGAAGTGACTACTCGCCGGGTGGTGGTGGCACACGCCTTTAATCCCAGCACTTGGGAGGCAGAGGCAGGCAGATTTCTGAGTTCGAGGCCAGCCTGGTCTACAGAGTGAGTTCCAGGACAGCCCGGGCTACACAGAGAAACCCTGTCTCGAAAAACCAAAAAAAAAAAAAAAAAAAAAAAAAAAAAAAAAAGAAGTGACCACTCAACCAATTAATTAGTAAACATTTATGACATATTGTTAGTCATCATGTACTGAGTTAGGAAATGCTTTTGTCAGTGATACCTAAGTGGAAATTCAGAGAAGGTCCAGAGATTTCTAAATACAACAAGAGTGATACATGTTGTCTGTTTTAGGATATGGAAGCATGGGACATCTGGACTGCTGTCGTAGTTCAGAAAAACCTAAAATATATGAAGTGAAGGGGCAATCGGGGCCAATTCATTAAGAACGTAATAGTAGTATTAAGGTTAGATATTCCTTCCTTGGAGCGCCTCCCACTCTTAAACACTCTTTCTCACTTTTCCTTAATAATTCTATGTGTTAAAAAATAGATTAACTTTGAAGGCAGGAGACTCTCTGCATACCTATAATAGGGCAATAACTTAAGGACTCTCTTCTTGATACGTATTCTATAATGTTTCCAACATATAGATACCTCAAAGATATAAGGAGTTAATACATATTTATTGAATCATTGGCTGATTGAGGAATCATGTAAGAGTTGTGAAGGAATGATATCACATTTATAGAAAAATCACTCTGACTGTAATATAGAGAATGGTTTACACATAGGTAGGTTGAGTGTATTAATTGTGGATTATTATAATAACAGAAATTTTTCCTGGAGCTACTCCATTTTACACACAGGTATCTTTATAATATAGAACAGTTTTAAAAATCAAGTTGATTAAAGGGATGTAACATTTCAAAATTAACCGTGGAATTTATTAACTGTATTACAGAAACATTTTAATGCGAAATCAAGTCTCTAAAATGTTTTTTAAGAAACTGTTATTAAAACCAGTAATTTCAGTATTTTAGGTAATATGACAAGTTAACCCCAAAATACAAAGCTATGCCACCTTTTATATTTGGCTTTTCTTGTACATATAACATTTCTTATTTTTCAAACCTCTATTTCATAGCATATTACATCATAAAGATCCCTAATAGTGAAGGCATTCTTATAGGTCAGAATATATGGTTAATGTTACCAATACTAATATATGTTATTCCTGATTTTCACATATTGATGATTAAAACTTGAAAAGTACTGTTTTGCTAGCAACATAACAATTCAGTTTCATTACTGGATTATAAGCATGTCTAAATATGTTTTCATAACCATCTGGCTCTGAGTCAGGGCAATTATGATTAGGTACCTAAGGCACAGGCTCATCATTTTAAATGAATAAGTTGACAGTTCTGTCCGCTCAGTAATCAAGAGAAAGTCTATTAAGAGATTCTACTTCCCATTCCAACAGTGGGAAGATTTTATATTTCTCATAATGACACACAAACACTTCAAAATGTTAAGAATATGGCGGCTTTAATGTATGATATTTGTTACATTTTTATATTTTAATCCCGCCCTTTTGAAAGAAAAATCATGCTCATCGTTAAATCACTTGGAAAATATAAAATGCATAAGCAAAAAATTATCCAGAGAGATCCTGTCCAGAGATAATCATGTCATTCATATTTTCATTCATATTGTTAAAAACTGCAGAACTTACTTCACATGTATTTGTAGGCTTTCTTTTTTTCAGTGCTAAGGACAGAACTCAGAGCCTCTTTCGTTCTAAACAAGTACTCCGCCGGGTGGTGGTGGCACACGCCTTTAATCCCAGCATTTGGGAGGCAGAGACAGGCCAGCCTGGTCTACAGAGTGAGTTCTAGGACAGCCAGATCTACACAGAGAAACCCTGTCTCGAAAAAAACAAAAAAAAGAAAAAAACAAACAAAAAAACCAAAAAACAAAAAAAACAAGTACTCCATCATTGCGCCACATACTTAGTCAGTCTTTACAACCTTTTACATTTTTATGTACTCCGATGTCTACCTATGTAACTACAGATCTATAGTTACTTTCAATGGCTAAATAATTTCTATATCACAGACGCTCTATTTGAGCTGTACAATTATAACTATTGATTGCACTTGAGTGCTTACTATATGCTAGACACTATTACAAGGGATTTGCTTCTACTAATTTAATCTTCAATAGTTTTTTCATTTCCGTTTCTTATAAGTGAGGAAACAGACACGAAGAAGAGTTTGTCCAATCTCTTTAATGTCGGACATTTTAGCAGTCATCAAAGCTTTGAATGTTGTAAACAACGCTGCCATTAATATCTTGGTTCATGTTTTTAAAGACTGTCTTTATGTAAATTTTGAAAATCAGAATTACTGGAACCAAAGGCACATTTCCAAAAGCTCGCTATATATTTCCATCGTTTCTCTTAAGAATGTTATGTTAATTTATACCCCATCAGGCAACTTTGCTTGTTATCCCTTGGATTCTTTTATTTTTAAGTGACTGAAAACAATAACCGATGCTTTAGTTTGTTTTCCCTTCAAAATTCGACTTTAACTGTTTGGTAAGCAAGTTGTTAGTACTGTTACACAAATCTTGTTGACATCTATCAGTTTAAAAGCTTCATTTCTAAGTATCCCTATTTGGGCACATTTTACATAATCTCACTGCGTGTGCAAGATCGGCTTGCTAACTTTACATAATATTTCCAAGAGATGATTCTTTAGATTTCACATCATTTAGAGGGCAATGTGTGTGTGTGTGGGGTGCGGGGCGTGTGTTACACACACATGTACAAATTAGATCACCAAATCAACATTTTAAGTTGCCAAGAGTCCTCATCAATGTCTGGCTTCATTTTTCGTGTTTTTTTTTTTAATTTTTTTATTTCTGCTGCTGGATGTGTGTGCTTAACTCGGGCTGCGAAGGTCTAATCTTCCAGTCACTCCAGCGACTCAGTGACTGCACGGCTTAGTCAGTCGGAGCCGACACCCAGAAAGCTTCCCTCTGATCTCAGGCTGGGTAAGGAGCCAGCGTTACCTCAGCCTCTCCGGAGGCTGCGCGCCTCGACACTCCCCTCCAAGGGATTCCAGGCAGTTCCACCAGTTCACATGACTCCAATCCCAGCAACTTCCTTGACCCCTCAGACCAGCGCGCTCAACATTTTACTCAGATAACCCAAAGGACTGTCTGATCTTTTGGAGGGATTGCAACATCACAACAACCCACCGAATAAATTCAAGGAGTTAAAAATTAAGGGCTTGGCTGGACCTAAAGTGAACCCTCTCCCTTTCCCAGTCTCTGATTCACTCCAGTGGCTCTTAGTTGGCCTCGGCGCGCCTGAAGGACCTCGTCCTCCCGAGACGCTCGGGCAACGGAAAAGCCGAGAACGTAGCCTCTGACCCCACGGGCACGCGGAAGTTCAGCAGAGGAAGCGACAGAGGCGGCTCCTCGCCTGGGTCTCGTAGCAGGCAGCGGGTTCTAGTTAGAACTGGAGAAGACAGCGTTCAGGCAGCGCTCAAGTCGCCTAGATTCCCGACACGCCCCGCGCGGGGGCCTGTCCAGCTTCTCCGCTGTTGCCGCCGCCGCCGCCGCCTCTGTTGCTGGGGGTGGGTGAGAGGAGGGGCTGAGAAGGACCCTGCACTGGCAGACTCACTGGCTGTTTTTGTACCTGAGGGGCCTCCTTTCTCCGTCACACCTTGAGTCCCGCGGTGTCGAGGGGCAGTCCCTGGGGACACCTCGGCACGCAGCGGACATGCCTCTCTTTGCCACCAACCCCTTCGACCAGGATGTTGGTAAGTGTTTTCACCGTCCCTGGTGGGCTTCCCCCAGGGACTGCCAGCCCACGCCGCCCACCCACCCCCTGCGTTCGTTCATTCTGGATTCCCAAGGCCGAGCTCATGTTCTTCTCTCCCGGGGCCCCTTCGCTCAGAGTTGGGAGAGGGTTGAGCGTTTGGCGCATCCTCTTTGAAAGAAATGGGACTTAGAACCTCTCTAATGGGCCTTGAGGAGGGGGAGCTTTGAAAGGATCGCTTAAGGGATTTGGGGTAAAGGGTTGCCTCGGGAGGAGCAGACGACGAAGCCATCTGCCGCTGGGGCTTGGCTTCTGGGAGAAAAGCGAAGAGCTGAGGCGTATCTTGGCTTGAGCAGATTGATTATAAGCTCTATCGCCAAAGTATTTGCCTGGCCCAATGGAAAGCATCGGAAACTAGCAAAATGTTTTAGGTAAGGTTACTTAAAGGGTTTTTTTTTTTTTTTAATGGCCCTTGTAACGGTCCCTGGAGGACAGAGGTCTAGTTACGTATGGGCAGTTTGAAATGTTGGAAGAGATGAAGATTGATTACTTGACAACAACTGAAACGCCATTGAAGACGTGAGCCTTTGGGATGCCTTTTTCAGGCTGGGCTTCTGCCGTTGAGAAGTGTGGAAGAGGATTTTGATTCTAGGAAGGGGCCTGAAATGCTAAATTTTTGTTGTTCTCTGAATCATTGCTATTAGGTACCGATCGTACCAATTTAACAGACTATCTGTTTTTCTGGCGTGAATTTGAATTTCTTGAAAGAATTTTGGGATGTTTTGAATGCACGACACTGAACTACACTGGTGCCATAGTGTAGAATGAAAGCGAACCAATACCAGCCAGTCCCATAGGCTGAATTTAACCATAACTATATTTTTAAAAATGTAAGGATAACTTGTGAGAGTTACTTTATGAATTTTGTTTATTAAAGATGAATTTTAAATTTTGCGAACTGGAAATCCTACTACTGCCACTTCTTCCTGGTTCATAGTGATTTAATTGAATGTTCTGAATCTGAGCTGTGGATGGAACTTGAGAAATCATCAATAATGCTAAATAAGTAATGAATTGGGAAATTGTGTTTAATAAGTGCTTAGCACCAGTACTTACTGAACACAGTGTTCATTGACCGTAAAGACCATCTCATTGCGGCCCTTTGGCAGTTTTACAGTTTGTTACATCAGTCTTTAGGACATATGCTTATAATAAAACAATACCTGCTGCTTCTGTTCCCAGCACCTGTAGTGATCCTATATAATCTTGCTTTCTGCAGTCACACTTATAGTCTCCTAACTTGTCAGTTTTCGTGGTGTCAGGAATGGAACCAGGGACCAATATGTGATCTTTCTGATCTTTTTTGAACCTACATTTGCAGTGGATTCAGATGGATTTCTTAATGTTAAACCTGTTCTTGCTACCTACGCCGCCCAGTCCAAACACAGGCCTCTTCTTGCCTTTATGCTTTTGTTTCTGTTATTTCATCTGTCTTTCTACATATATGTCCTCATGCTTTGAGGTCAAGTTAGAGTCCGACTTGTTGTACCTGAATTATTTGCTGATTCCTGCGACCTGGAGTTTATAAGTAGCAGCATTATTGACTGTCTGGAATAGATAAAATTCTTAAGGAGGTTATGTGCTATACAGTGTAGGGTGTTAACTTTGTATTTGCTCTTCACTCAGTAGATGCCAATAACATCTCACAGCCAGTCATGACTTTAAAAGTCTTCAGTCATGATTTAATGTCTCTGGGGCTGTTTAAATATGGTAATTTTCACCTTCCCCCATCTAACATAGATCTCAGCATTTTTGTCTTTACTAAATTAAACATTACATATCAGTGTGTTCTATATTTTGCTCCTTGTTTGATGGCTGCTACATAGTTTGCTTTGAATAAATGCTTGTTGAGTTGAAAATATGTTAAGCTTGTTAGACTTTTTTTTAAAAATTCAGTTTGAATTATAAAGATAATTTATACCATCGAGCTCCCTACTGATTTGTATTTACCAATTCCAACAGTCAGTTCCTCATCCAGTTTTTTATTGATATCTTACATTTTTCTTCTGTGCTTTGTCCATAGGTTTGTAGGTCACCAACTCTTTCTGGTTTTCTGCTTAGCTTTTTAGTTCCCCCTCCCCTTTTTCTCAGTGTCCAAATGTTGAGCAGTAATAAAACCTCTTCTCCATTGACACTTTGTTCTCTTAGAGTCTTATGAGACTTAGTGTTTAGAATTTGGAGTGATTTTCTTAAATTCAGGTTTCAGGCTTGCTCCTTATCAGCAATGTGGCTTTAAGCTAGTTGCTGAACCTTTGTTTCTTTGTCTTTAAATATGGAGTATAGGAAATATAATGGTTCCTCGAAAATATATTTGCAAAAGTCAAAGAAACAAAAGTACAATGTTTCTTAGCTTATAAGGTTGGTAAGAGAATTGAGTTAGTGTTTAAAAAGCACTTAGGAAAAATTTTTTTGCTGGGCAGTGGTGGCTCACACCTTTAATCCTAGCACTTGGGAGGCAGAGGCAGGTGGATTTCTGAGTTTGAGGCCAAGCTTGGTCTATAGAGTGAGTTCCAGGATAGCCAGGGCTACACAGAGAAACCCTGTCTCGAAAAAGAAAACACCCCCCCCCAAAAAAAAAGAAAACCAACAAAAAAGTTTTTTATATTTGTGAAGTAAGATTTAAAACAGCTCTGAACACTTTTCGTATTCCAATTACTCACAAGTTTAAATAGTCTGTGTCAGTATTGGAGATTTAGGCATCCATCTGCTGAATATTTCCACTGGATTTTGATAGGAGTCTAGAAAAACTCATGTATTCCCCTCCCACTTCTCATTCTGTCATCTTAGCCCGTCTCAGGATTGAGTCATTAATCTTTCCTGTTAGTCAGTTCTGATGTCTAAGAGTCACGTTGGTTCTTTCATGCTTCCCACCCATTCTGTCAGTAAGATCTTTTGGCTCTACCTAACTTGTATCCAGAATCTGTTAGCTCAATATTATACTCAGCCATATCTCAGCCCTCTCAGAGACTGTGGCAGGGGCTTTGTGATAGGATTTTTTTATTATGCTTTTGTTCCTCTACTAAGGTTTCACTTATAAAAGCCATTACTCTTTGAAAAAAAAATACTGGGTAAGGTCACCTACCTGATCAAAAAATCTGTGGTAATTTTCTATATGTAATACCTAAAGATATATATGATTCTGATCCTTGGATTCCCTATCATGTCAAGCTTCTTGGATCTGAACTTTCCAAGCATTTCTGCCACTGTAGCTTCGTAGGCCATTTTCTTTGTTTATGTTAATGTTCCCTTAGGCATTTTAAGGCCTTGATGTCCATCACATCACTTGGGCACTCTGTTCAAAATTTTTCTGAGAGGCTTTTCTAGCTACTGTCTCTTAAAGCAAATCACCAGTTGTTTTCTACTCACTACTGCTTACTTATTTTCTTTATAGTTCTAACATTAAGTTCATCAATTGCTGGTCTTGTATGGCATAAACTTCATAAAGAATGTTTTAGTCTTGTCTCTCGTACCTTAGGGGCAATTCCTAAAACTCACTAAACCCCATAATTTATCTAGTAATGACTAACTTGACAATTTTCTAGATTGTTAGTTTGATGTTCAGTTACCACTTAAAAATCAGTGTATTAGAAATTTGAATTTACCTTTCCATGATGTTCTTTTCATTATTTGATTATTCTATGATGTTCCATTTATCTTGACTTTTGGTTTTTGAGACAGGATTTCACTGTTTAACATGACTGTCCCAGAACTCAATTCTATACTAGGCTTGAACTCATAGAATTCCACTTGCCTCTGCCTTCCAAGTGCTAGGATTAAAGGCTTGTTCCATCATCTGGCAAAACATGAGATTTTGTATGTGTCATTCATCTTGACTTTTGATTTTTGAGACAGGGTTTCACTGTGTAGCCTTGTCTGTACTAGAACTAGCACTATAGACCAGGCTGGCCTTGAACTCAGAGATCTGCTTACCTCTACCTTCTTAACCTTTAAAATATAAAAAGTATGTGTCTCCCTCCCTTCAGTGCTGGAGATTTAACTCAGGGCCTTTCATTGGCTAGGAAACCGAAACCCTTCAGTCCCTAGTCTTGTTTTCTTGAGATGGGGGTCTCACTGTGTATCCAAGCTTGCCTTTGCCTCCCTAAGTGCTGCCTTTGCCTGCTAAGTGACAGTTGTGCAAAAACAAGCCTACTGCCAATAAGAAATGTCTTTGAATCATTCCTTTGTCTCTGATAAATACTGCTTTTAGTATTTAGAATAAGTAGTAAGTTAGCAGCCAGGTGTGATGGCCTACACCTTTAATCCCAGCTCTCAAGAGGCAGAGGCAAGTAGGTGGTTCTCTACTGGTTGGAGGACAGTCTGGTCTACCTAGTAAGTTCCAGGTCAAGCAAAGGTATTATATATAGCAAGACCTTGCCTAAAACCAACCAAACTAATTAATCAATCAATTAATTAGTTTTTAAAAAGTATGTATTTCTAGTCAAACTGTTTGACCAGTCCATGTCATGAATACTGTTAATCCACTGTATGTACTTTTTACTTATTTTGTTTAGTCCAGTCAGCATCATAAACCACAGTCAGATTCCTCCAAAGCAGTAGTTCTCAACCTTTGTAATGCTGCAACCCCTTAATAAAGTTCTTTATATTGTAGTGACCCCCACAACCATAAAATTATTTCCAGTGCTACTTTATAATTGTAGTTTTGCTGCTGTTACGAATCATAATATTAATTTTTTTTTGGAAATAGAGGTTCACCAGGAGTTCAAGACCCACAGGTTGAGAAGCACTGTCCTGAGCTCTTGATTTTGACCTTCAATTGCTCCTATAGTATTTACTATTAGTGAGTAGGAGAATTTTGTATTAAACAGGATCAAACTCCTTTGAATTCATTTTCTAGTGTTGTAAGTAGTTATAAAAATATCTCAGGTTGCTATCAGGATTATTTGTCAAAGCACTTCATATTCTAATTCTTTACTGGTATAG